TAATCTCCTGTCTTTACAGTTAATCCATTTTCCTTTTCCATTTATGTGGTTTCAGACTCACTAAGAGGGGAAGACACTGCTGATCAGACCTACAGTGCAGCTGGGCTTTCGTCTGAAGTGCTGCAGCACCTCCCATAAGGTCTTTGTGGACTAGACTTGTCTGTGGGGGACTGGTGGAAATTCATACTGTTACTTTGAGACCAAAAACCTGGGATTTGTTCATCCCTACTACTCTGCTCAGCCTTGCAGCCTGCTCAGAATGACTGCATGTAGACAGCGGTGATGGCCAAGACATCCCAAGGAGGGGCAGCCATGTTAAATCTGGGACCCACATCAGAGCCTGGCCATTCCCATGAGCCAGCCACTCCGCAGTCTGCGGGGTTCGCAGAGCCCCAGCCACTGCTGCCGGGCCAGGCAGGGATGTAGCAGTTCCTGCGATGACTTCCCTATCATGGACGGGATGCTGGGCTGGATGGGGCGGTATGCCAAAGATTGCGCAGTTCTTTTCCATTTACATGGAAGCAAAATGAGTCTTGAAAGGAATGTGTTTATCCTCACATTTGTCACTTTGCATCTGCTATCTGCCTGCGTCGGTCCTCTGTGATGCAGCAGAGCAAAAGAAATTAACAGTAAACCAAGGAAAACTTAACACAGAAGCGAAGGAAACCTGTAGTTGTAGTATTGCATCTTTCCTATGACATGGGGAAGAGGAGAATCTGAACCTCGGGCACAAACTGCATCCACCAAACTGCCATTGCTGCACAACACAATGCTGGCGCTTCCCTCCCTGGCCGTAGCCTCATCAGGTTCTCTGCACAAAAAGCCACTTTTCTCCTGGTGTGAGTTAATGGAGGCAGACCAGAGTGGATCAGGGGCAGGCACCCAGCCCCTGCAGCTGACATCACCACTGCAGCGGTGCCGCATGGGCTGGATGGAGGAAGGAGAGCCAGGCGCAAGCTCACTGCTTGTAGGTTTTCAGTTGGGTGCCTCAGCAACTGCAGATGCCGAGGACGCTGCCAGCGCTGGCAGAGTGGCCTCTTGCTCATTAAGTAGATACAAGCTACAGCCAACTCTGCCATCTCATTCTACCTCTGATCTACCTGGCGTCTTATGCCTTCCACCACATCAACTGATCAGATTAATTGCCGTGCAGCTGGGATGGGGGGGGGGGATGTGGAGAACTAGGAGCAGATGAAAGCTTTTGTGCTGCTTCCATGCACCCTCAGATCATTACCCCTTGCATTGCCAAGTGTTCTCAGGCTTGCCACATCTCCCAAGCTACTTCGTCATCTGCTAGCATGGCCGTGCAGAACTTGCATCCTTGCCACAAATAGAGGAAATTAAAATATCATGAGAAGCCCTGCCAGAAGCCCCCAGTTTTAAGGTAGCTGTTGCAGCCTGATCTAAACGCGTTGGGAGGAAAATGATGGGTTTACTCCTGTGACAGCTGAACAGTCATTCATACCTGGTGTATCAAGGTTGAGGTACCCCCATTTCAGGGAAAAATCTATTTTAAATTCTTCTCTTAGCCAATGTTTTGCAGAAGAAAGAAAAGGGCTTGAGGCTAAACTTGATCCTCGCAGGCTGCATATTTCATACTGGAAGGCTGTGACTCAGTGGCCTCTGGAAGCTCTCGAAGCTATCAGTAGCTCAAAGGAGGAATTAAAAACTCAACGAACTGCCTGTTTTCCTGAAACTTGTTTAGTACATGCTATGGAAGAGATGAGAGGTTTGAAAGAAGGCAGCCCTGTCCAAGAATCATTGGCTATAACAAGTCACAGCAAGCAATGAATATTTATTTTATTAAAATGCCTAGACATCTTTTAATGAGCCTTTTTGCCAAGTTTATGTGGAAGAATTTGCCAAAATACTGTGTACACTATAATAAATCCCAAGATACCTAATATCTTCGGCTTGGTCTTGTGTCCCTGACAGTCTCTATGTAGAGATGTCAGAATACCTTTTTTCTCCCCCAAAATGGGAAGGAGAGACTGAGTAGCTTTTCTGACGTTTTTCCAGACAGTTGGAAAAGCTGATGTGAACAGAGATAGGTCCTGTGCTAGCCTGTGAAACCAGGTTTAGGAGTGGCAGGAGGAATCTCAGGAAGATGAGTCTGAGGCTGGATGTTAGACTCAGGCAATCAGTTCGTCTGAGCTCAGGGGAGAAGATGGCCCCTTTAGCTGAGCCTCTGCTTCTAGACAAGGATAGTCCTTGTTTCACTCTACAGTCTTAGTCCCCAGATCTGCCTTTCCCTCATCCCAAATCCATGTCAGGTGGATATCTTGCACCTGTCAGTCCCCAATGGTTAAGGCTTACTTTCAAACCCAAGACGCAAGAGAGCAAAATTGGCACCTCAGATTAAAATAGGAAACAAACTCAAAGTTTCTGGACACTTCAAGAAATCACCCAGGAAACTTTTGAAAACAGAGCTTGTGAGCCCAACCCAGGGAGTGAAGTGAGTGATCTTCTGTTCTTAGGAGTGTCTTACTTAAAGTTCTCCTTTTCCACCATGGCTCGGTGCCTTCAGACGTGGCCTGTCAGGGTGCATTCCTAATCACAATCAGGAAACATCTTCCCACCCTTTTTGCCACATATTCCCAGTTCTTGAGAGCAAGGATTGACTGAGCTGGCCCGCCCGAAAAAGAGACTCAATGAAAAGATCCTTCCAACTGAAGTTAAAGCCATTGCTTTCATGCTTGCTGTGGGTGCTAGGACTTGGTACTGCTGTGCCTCAGTAATGTATTCTGAAGTGATCAGCTGAGGACAGAAAGCTTATCAGAGAAAGATGTTTTCGTTGCCTTTGGAAAGCTGGTATTTGTCATCTTCTCAAAGTGGATCTCCCACTGGAGGAGCTGGATCTGGATATCTCTTCACCGACACAGCAGAGAGAAAGATTTCTATCAAGCTTTGTACCTAACAGCCAGAACTGGTCAGAAAGTGTTCAACTGCCTCTTTCTTTGTGGATTCCTTGGTCATAAAATGCTCATTTGCTGAAACTAAATTATTTTTCTAGGAACGTGCTAATTCAAACAAATGTTTAGCCAGAAAAGGCTTTCTGCTTCCAAAAGAGGGAAATTCTGGTTAATGGAGTGAGAGGGAATCACTTAACAACCAGCTTGGTGAGTTTGAGCTCTCAGCTGAAATATAGCAGAACTCAGGTTGTGTCCTTGCTCCAGCAAATGCATCCTGCTCATCCAAAGAGGAACAGCCCCAGCAGGAACGACTCACACGAGGATCTGCTGGGTCCTCATCATGCCTAGCACAGGGAAATCACTAAGCCTGAAAATCCCGTGTTCTAGGCAAATTCTCTGGCTGCTGGTAATTGGCTGTCCAGACCAGGTCTGCAAGGTGACAAGCCAACATGCCAGTGGGGACAGAAGACCCTTGCTGTAGAGATCCTACAACCAGCCCCAGCTGTACCGAAGCTTGGCTGTTTCTTACTCTGCTGGCATGAACATCAGCACTTGAGCTGCCTTCAGTTCCTTCTCTTCAATTCCTTCCCTGGCACTGCAGACTGGTTGATTTTTAAGGGGCAAACTTTTTTTGAGTTTTGCTCACTTGCATGTATTTACTCAAGGACGCAAATTGTATTGAAGGTTCACACTCCCCAAAACATGCATGTAGTCGACTGCACATCGGTTTCCTGGAAGTTGCTAGAGCAGCAAAATTTAAGTTGAGTTCACTTGTGCAGGCCAAAAGGAAGTGCTGATTTCTCAAGCTAACCTGCCCTGGCTGCTGTTCCCCTTCTTCCCCTCCATAAACGTAAAGTGTTGGTTTTATTCTAGGCTTTCAACTATGTAAATGCTGTTGCGTGGCCACTATGCAACCAATTATAGAGGGGGCAGATGTTTTTAACAGTAATGCACAAACACTCTTCTTTTTTTGTCTTTTGCCTTAAAGATAGTTTGTATCTTGTGATGATGTCATGTTTGAGTCTTTCATATTTCTGTGTTGCAGATATTGTCCCCTTAAGGGGACATGCATTTCAAATGTGCAGGGGAGGAAGAATATAAATTAGTCATATATGGGTGGGTAAGCAAATTGGCTGTGGTGACCCAGCTGCCCGCACTCGTCTGGCCGTTCAGACAGAGGAGGTGGCTCGCGCGCATCAGGCTTGTGGTGGCTGTGACTGCAGTTTGTTTGTTTTACATCTGGTGTGCGCTGCTGTGCTCAGGAGGGCTTCACGAGCCTTCAGCCATGAGCGGAACACCATGCCCCTGGTGATCGATCCCTGCGAGCAGCGGCAGAGCCATTCCATTTCCAAGAATAATCTTCCATCAAAAAAAAAAAAAAAAAAAGGTGCATCATCCAATGCCTTAATCTTACCACATCGCTGGGTGAGCTTCAGCCTCTGGTAAAGGGTTTTGCTTTACCATTGCCAGTGATAACATGAGTCCCAGCTGCAAGTGTAGCCCTTTGGGAAGCCTAACCTCCACAACCACCACCCAAGCAAGACCTTGCAGGTGGGTGGCTGTGAGTGCGTGCCTCCAAGTGCCCTGTGGTTGTAGGGGCACTGATTGTTACTATTTGTAGACTTGGCTGAAAAAATTCCTACAAAGCAGGTTTATGTGTTCCTTCTTGTTTTCTTTTGCCAGTTTTCCACAATCACCAGATGGTTGCCCTCCTTGTAGAGCCTTGGCGAAATGCCTGGGAGGAAAAAGGGGAAGAGTTTGCTTCCAGTATATTCCCTGCTCCTTGCAGCTGCTACTTACAGGGTGTGGGAACACCTTGAGGTTCCTCTAGGCGACATATGTGGAGCTAGGGTTATTGCAATGGGAAAACCATCACAAATTTTGCTAAAAGCCCGGATTTCTTCACTGTGCTTCTTGTGAACAACTTGTGCTATTGCTGCTTGTGTTTTTTCCAGCTGGAAGATCAGGGTGGTGCCACAGATATTTTCATTCTTACTGACTCCTAGGCTAGAGGCACAATCATCAGTGTGCGGGGAAGGCAAGTATTGATGAGTAATCTTTCAAAAGTATCTCTCTTCTTTATTTCAGAGTCTCCTGAAATTGGGCCCTCAGTTGTAGTTCACACAACTGTGACGTTTGGAAGCGAGAACCTGGATTCAGACCCTGCAGAGGTGCAGCAGTTAATTCTCAGTCACCTGGAGAGGATGGTGCCATCCCTACCTAAACCAGCCAGCATCAAGTGTCAGAAATGGAGATACTCTCAGGTACTCTGCGGTGGGATCGGACAGCTGGGAGGGTGCTGCTGGGGCAATGTGGTAGTACAGACTTGCGGTGTATCGCAAGAAACAGTGGTTTTCATCCTCGGGAAGCAAGGGGAAAGGGGGTAGTTGCTTGATATCCATAATACATTCCTTCATGTAGCTATGAGCAGCATCCAAGGCTGGCCAACAACAGCCACATCTTTTCTAGTCATCTTTTTACATAGCGGACCTGGCTCAGCGGTAAGTTATGCAGCACTTCTGGTAAGTAGGGACAGGAGTGGTGCACAGGAAGGAGGTAAATCCCACATACTGCAGTGGGATTTTCACTGGTATTTAATACTATGACTATCTGTCTCTTCTGTATCCAAAAATATGTCATATTATTAGCAAAATTCCCACCCTACCACGGAGTAGCAGAAGTTCTTGCGATTAGACGTAGTAATTGTTATTATTTGGTTTGGCTCGGTTCAATTTAACGTTATGTTATGCAAGAAATATGTTAAAGTAAACTACTTAAGGGTAATAATAGCAAAATGTGTATATTTTACAGACTTCTTTTTAAAAATCAAGGAAATTGTTGGCAATTTCCTAAACTATTGGAGTGTATCTACATGTTTACCCAAAGCCTCTTAAGTTAAATTACATTGGTGAAATTGAATGTGGAAGTTGATGCAAAATATTTACTTAAAGCAGTCCCCTAAAAATTTTTCCTTTTATGAAGTCTGGAAAAGTTAGTATAGATGACTGTTGTGAAGTCTGCTTGTACCCCTTGATCTGCCTCGAATTTAGGAACCTGGTGTCATTAGCACAAGGTTTTATTTTTCTGTGAGTTAGGTACTGCGGGTTTGCAAATCACTTCCCAGTGCGTAATATTTGTTCTCAGTTGTCAGAGAAAAATGACATTAATGTAAGTTTTAATGTTTCAAATGACTTTCACAAAAAATCATGCAATGTTTTATGTGTTCCTCTTTATCAGTTCAGGGTTTTTTTTCCTGGTAACAGTATCTCTGCACAGTTGCCACTGTTAAGGCATCCTTTTCTGGTTGTGACTTCTGGTCTTTTCTTCTGCATTATCTGTAACCTTTCTGCTTCAAACTGCTTGTGAGCACAGGAACTACAGGTGGTAAGGAGGAGGAGAACTGAATCTATCTCAAACAGACAGACACTTGGTTGAGCAGCTCTGGAAAGGGCTCCCAAAACAAAGTGTCTTTGAACAGAATTAATGCACCCTAGATACTGCTGCTGTCACAAAGCTCCATCATAAAATTTGTCAAATTCAGCCACTTTATGTGCGCCAGGAAAGGGCTTAATATGCCGTTTCCTTGCACTACTCACACTTTTGGCATAGTGTCAAAGGTGACATATAAGCATATGCATCATGTATGGCCCATTCTGATTTATTTCACCATGAAAACCTGGATAAAGGAAAAGAGAAGAATGGCAGTTAATTTCTTACTACTGAATTAAAAAAAAAGTCTCAACTGCATTCTACTGAACAACTATGCTTTTTGAATTTTGAATTATGGCCATACCATATTTATTATAACCGTGTACCTACTGCTTCATCTTTTAGAGGCAGCTGGAACAGTGACTGTGGGAATGAACTCTTAATTTCCACAATTGCTTCAAAATTGTTGTCTTCCTAAATCACTAGGTGTGCGTCCTGTTTCCCCTATTTAAAAATTACATCATACTCCTGGGTGATGCTCTATTATTTACTCAAACCACTGTACAATTTACAGCTCTTCCCCCTTTTTCCCCTGCCTGTGTTGCCTGCTATTGACCATGCTGCTACTAACCAAAACCACTGACTTCTGCAGCTGCTTGTGTTTTATGGCTTTATCCACCAGTCTTTAATTCAGTGGATAGGTCAGATCCGTTATCTCAATAAAGAGATTTCTATTGCCATCCTATAAAATAATCACTACCTAAATTAAATATCTGGGACAGAATCCCTCTTTCTCTTAAAGCTATCTTTACTTTCAATTATAATCTGTTGCCACAGAAGGAAAGGGATCTGGTAAGGTGGGTGCATCTTTCCCCTGACTCTTTTAGAGGGGATTTATCCTACTTGTTAATTAAATCCATCCATAACATCCTTCACATGGCCAAACACAATCCTGGGATTAAAATGCAGACATTACAATTATCCATGGCGGATGAGGGATTAGGACTTCCAAACTTCTACTGACGCTATTTAGCAGCACAGCTGCAATTCTGCATCCACTGCTTTAATTATATTAAGACGCTATTAGCATTCAGAGCCAACAGCTTCCCAACCTGTCATGTCCCTTTGGCAGAGTCACTTTAGATGTACAAGGGATATGGGGAAAACACAGAGTCATAGAAATTGGACCTCTTCTGAAGGGTCCTCAGAAGGGACCTCTCAAGGTCTTTAGTCCAACCTTTTGCTCAAAGCAGAACTATCTTGCCAGCACTAGGTGACTGCAACCCCATGGTTTTGTCTAGCTGAGTCTTGAAGTCTTTGAGGATGGAGATCCAATAGGCTGTGCCATATATCTGAGGGCAATTTGGGATTTATGTTGGAAAACACCTTCAGAAGAACTTGAAGAAGGGGCGGAATCGTTCCTTTCACCAGTCACTATGTCTAGAGTGAGGGCCTTTACTACATTAAGCACACACTCTTGCCCCACAGGCTAAAAGATGCAGGCTGAGATGTAAAAACATTGATCCTATGATCACTATGACAAACCAGAACCTGTTTGGTACAGCCAGCATCAGATAAGCACTGCTTAGTCAAGAAGGAAGGGCACTCAAAAAGCGTTTTTCTGCTAAATCTTTTTTCATTTTTTATGCACAGTGACCTCAATCTGTAAGAAAAATTTAAGAATAAATTAAATCTGAGAAAAACAATCTCTGACTGCATTTACCATACATGGCTGGACTCCTCTGTTGAGTAATGGAGAATGGGTCACAACTGTCTACAAATTCATTTCAGATAGTTACCTCCTTTAAAGAGATGCTAACATGCCGGTAAGACAAAATGCAGCCAGTAGCATAAATGTGGCTGTTCTGCAGCTGACCTGTGCTTGGAAATGGCAGATAACAGCATGGCAGTGGCTAGCTGAGTGTATGTTTGACTCAATGGAAAAAAACCCTGAACAAGATGCCTTGGACTTTAGGCCTTGTTCAGTGAAGCTGACAGTTGCACAGTGGGATGCAGTAATGGTTTACTGCGCAGGAATCCAAAACATAGCTTTGGACCAAAGGCAGAAAGTCGAGAAACGATCGAAAGAAAATTGTGTTCTCTGTATCATGCTTTAGGATCTCTATGGTTTGATCTCTGTTGCTAGTCTACTGCTGTGCTTCTGTTCTTTTTTTTTTCTCTCTCTCTCTCTCTTTGGCTTTCTAGATATTTTTTCCTCTTTTTCGACACTTCATCCTTATTGGTCTTGTTTTGTTGTTCCTTTTCTCAGACTATTTCTTCCCACCTTCCTCCTCTGATCACTTCATCATCGAATTGTCCTGCATCTTCTTATCTTTTTTATCCCTTCTGCCTGAGCCTGTCTTGCCCTCGCGTTTACCTTTAGGCTGGTGCTGCTGATGCCTTATCTCCATTTCGATATTCCCTGGTGCTGCTCTGGGATGCACTGATTTAGTACAACATGGACACTCAGCCTTTGTACATAGGCTTGAAATAGGCCACAACAACGTGTGACACAGCAAAGCACGGTAAAAACACAAATGCTGCGTGCTTTTAGTCTGTGGTTTGATGCACATTGGTGTTTGTCATGAAGTACAATACCAAAAAGAAGTCTTGTTCTCCCCGTGTGTTCCAGGTGGCTTCAGGTTAAAGCCTGGCCAAAGCAAAGTCCGTTCAATTTTAGAAGTGTTACACAGAACTGCTCAAGAGCTGCCACTCCACAGATACAAGTTTAATTGAGGGTATAGTGCCAGGAAAATTATATTTAAAATTAATACAACGCATACATTGAGAATGACATTAAATATTTATCAAAGCAAACTTATTCCAAACTTGTCCCATGCTACTTACAGAGAAAGTGTTGATTATATCTCTAACAGCGTCTAACAATTTTTGTGCTGCTCAGATGAAAAATGAGACCTGTGTAGCAGAGCTGGAGGTAGGGTGGGTTGTCCCAGGGCTGTGTGTATGCTCGCACAGCAGCATGAAGCATGGTCAGGTCGTCATCACAGTTGTTACTCTGAAGTTCACCTCACTTCCTGTCCAGGAAGGTCACCTGCTCAACCCAATCGTGTTGCAGGCTCTCTTGGAAACAGCAGGCTCCCTTTCCTTTGTTGAACAGTTACGTATCTGGGGGTTTTTGCAAGCCTACCTTTGCTGATGTGAAATCATGTACCTTCATACCTTTTGGCTTTTTTTTTTTTCTTCATACTTTTTGGCTCATCTATCCAGGGTCTGACAATTTATTTCTGCTGAGACAAACTGAGAATAAGACAAGACAAAGCTGTAAAGTTTCTAAATTTCCACATACAGGAAAGCTTTATTCTAATTATTTAACTCCAGAAGATAAGTATTTTACTATCGTACTTTGATTGTTGATGCTTGGACCTGTGATCTGGGGTGGGAGGGGTGCTTTGTATGAGGGCATGTTTCTCAGGAATACGGACCTTTCTGATGTGAAATTCAGGTAAATAAAATTCTTTCTATCTCCTCTTTTTCAGGTTACAAAAGCTGTGCCCAATTGTCTGGGACAAATGATTCTTCATACTCAACCTCTCCTGATTTGTGGGGGCGATGGATTTACTCATTCCAACTTCAGTGGCTGCATAGATTCTGCTATGAGTCTTGCCGAGGCTGTGAAGTCTCATTTGTAGCAATTTCAAAGTTGGCTGCTAAACTTAGTCTAGATTTGTGATGAATTTTACTATGATGAACTGATTTCCAGTTTAGTGTTAACATCACTGGCCTCTATCTTGCAAAAATAAATAAAGGAAAATATATTGCTGTCCTGTAATAATTATTGGGATGGAACTGAATTGAATTTTCCAGGATCTGTGCTGTGAGATGTTACTTTGCTTGAAGTAAAGCTTTTTCTGGCTCAAGTCAGAGGCACTGAGCTTCAGCAGCTTTGCCAGGTCTTCTGATACTTTTACAGCCCATGAAAATTATGTCAAGGAGAGGACCCTGACTTGAAGCAACACAAAAACCCCATGCTGCTGCAGAGTTTACTCCTTCTCTGAGCATTTGGAGCCCTGGAAGTGACAGAAGGAACATGCACAATCGATCTCAGAGCTTTCATACCTATATGCCGTCATTTCTGCTGGTGCAGTTCATCCCTGGTCATGGTTATTGTGTTGGCCATGGGGAGTCAGTGATGGGACATACCTTGCTATGCTTCTCAGGTTGCATGGCCTAGGCAGGGTCTAACCATATCGACTCAAGTTCTAACCATGTCTCCAGGTGTGGACAGCTTTTAAGTGAGAGATAGTAGTTGTCTGCCAACCATCTTTCTTAGCCCATAGTTTTCTGGTTGCGACTGCTGGAAGAGCTCATTTAAGAGCTTGGTGATGTTACTGGCAGTGATGTGCCACTGAAACATAGTACCTGTCCTGGGCGCAGTCTAAGCAGCATCAGCCCAGCTGTGCTCATAAAAGAAAGAATGGGGAGAAGGTGAAAGAGAAGGTGTGCATGTTTGTAGCGCTCTCATAGCAACAGGGCTGCTATCCCAAAGTCATCTTGGGAACAGATATTGATATCTGGGCTGTAATATGAGTTTAACACAGTAAAGCAGACTGGGCAGGAAAGTAGGTGCACTTAAAATAGTTCAGTATTTGCTAGGTTGGAGTCATCATGTCTCTCTGCTGGTCCAGGGTCCCCTGAATAAGGAGCAGTCCTTTCCTCCTTCCAGCTGGTGGAGGAGTCAGGGTAGGAGCAGCCAATACAGAAGGTGGTTTGGCTGCTTTGCCTGGCAAATGCCAAGAGGAAGGAGGGAAAAGAATTTATCTAAGTGTGGTCTGTAGCAGTGTGTTAATAAGAAAACTGTGCTGGCATTTCAGGCTTGGGATTACATCACCACCACCATAAAAACTCATCTAAAGTAAACAGCCAGTCTGAAGGTGAGGTGAGTTCTAGACAGCTCTGTGCTTTATTTTGGCAGAACAGGTGTAGAAATAGAGGGACAGGTCCAGGGAAGGATATAAATACATGGGTGAATGACAGAACAAGAAACTTGATTTAGAATACTAAAAAAATAAACAGCAAGTATAATTGTGTTGAAAATAGTACCTGTCATGGTTTCAAATATTTCTAAGCTACTAAACCGTGTTTCTGTGAAGCCAGTTTTGAAATTACTCAGAAATTAACCAAGAAATCATTTATTTGTTCTAAATTTGATTTTAGCTTGCCCTTCCTCTGAAATCACATCATAAGTTTAGTACCTCTACTACAGTGCTAAAAACAACAAAATGCTGTTTTCAGCAGACAGAATTTTAACCATTAGAGAAGTACAATTCAGCCCCTTTTTCTTATACACCTTCATTTCACAAAAATCCAACATCCTGTATTCACAGCAACTGAACACTGTAATTTACTGCTGTGTTTGACCGTTTCTAATGCAGTATTTTAAATGACACCAAGAACTTTAAAACTTCAATTAATTTTAAAAGCATCCTTGAAAGATATTTCATGGTTCCATGCAGTTTTATTGTTTTTTTTTTTTCTTCTTTCCATGAAGTCCTTGAGTTTAAAACTAGGTGTTGTTCTTGTGTCTGAACCAACCCCAGGTTTCAATCACCACGTATCATGCAGAAACAGGCAGATCGGTGGTCATGTACATGCGCAAATCTTTTGCAAAAGCATGTGATCTCCTGTCTTCCACAGATCAAGGTAGCAGCACATGGTCATGGAATAAATCTGATGTGGTGAGGCATTTAGTATTGGCTTGATTAGCATGGGCTCAAAAGAAACCAAAGTCCCAGCTGAAAGAAGGTTTTATGTTGCAGTGTTGGAAAACCTTAATCAAAGAGATGTACTCCATGGTGGAGAGCATATGAAAGCAACCAAGCCCCGCTTGTGACATGTATTCTTCAGCTTCCATTCAGGCCTGGCCATCCTGTGGGGGTAGGTCCCCAAGGGAGCAGTAGCATTCTTAATCGTACAAGAGGGTTTTCTGCTGGGTTATCGGTTCCTCTGGAAGATGTTGCCACGGCAGATGGGTCCACCGTTGCTGGACCTGTGGTGATGGTTTCTGGAGACCCATCCCATCAGTCTGCCTTCATCCAAGCTCTGCCTTAGTGCACGGGGACGGATGTGAGTCCTTTTCCTACAGGAGTGAAGGAGCAGGCTGTAGCTTTAGGGATTTTCCCAGACTCTTCACTTGTGCTGTTTTCCTCATCTTCATTCTTTGTTTTCTGCCTCTTTCTTCAAAGATGGATTTCACATTAAAATGCCCTAAAATCTGTACTTCCTTCCACTTCAGATTTGAAAGGAAGCAAGCCAAATGACTAAAGATCCAAATAAAGATCCTGAAAGTGTTGGACATGCAGAAAACTGAAAATGAGGCATCTTTGACTTAACGCTGTGTCATTGCTCCCGCCGTCTCGCAAACAGGTGTGCTCCGAAGAGTTGTGATGCTCTCACAGGGCCTTGTATCAGCAGCAGCCTTCAATACCACAAGTAACAGGTAAGTGGAGATGTCTCTGACCCTGTCATTTCAGCAATCGTACAGCTTTGGTCATTATGAGATCTCAAAATACCTGATAATAAGCAAATTACAGATTCAGAGATTTTTCGTATCATGAGATTTTCAATTCAGAGGTTTTCAAATGTGAATCACAGTGAGTCTCAATTTGCTCCTATCCTTCCCCATATCATGACAGTCTATTAAAATGCCTGTTTCCCATTGCTTCCTCCCAGATTAAGATGATTTAAACAAAACCAACTTTTATTTTTTTAAGGTGGAGTAGAGAAGATTGTGGACATGTTCCTCTGGACATGCTCCAGATAGCAAGCACTTATGGGTCTCTGTGGCAATATCTCATTTTCTAGGTGTGAGCAGGGAGACGACTGTATTAACTTTCCCACACAAGGTGGGTAATGAGTGATGATATTTCAAAGAGGCCACTGTATCCAAAAGGACGGAAACAGAAGAGACTTGTCTGGTGGATTTCCTGGGTTTTTTCTTTTTTCCTGGGTGGATGTAATTTTCAATTAACTGGCAGATCCATCAATTATCACCACGATCTCCTTGTTCCCAGACAAGGGTTTTGGCTGCATCTGATTTGCTGGATGTGACAAGCCACGGCTAACACCCAAAGCTGAATTAAAGTGTTTCAGCTCTCAGACGACATTGTTACTGTCTTCCTCATCACAAGGAAAGATGGGGCCATAAATGCTCAAAGCCTTTTAACTCACAGTTGTGTTAACTTCCACCCAGTGAACATCACTTTGCAGGGCTGGCCCATGACATCTAGTGCAGTCAATATATTCAGCTGCATGAGATGCGTTTTGCTGATCTCTGAGGGTTTAGCTGTACCTTTAGGTCTCTAACAGCAATCCTTTCTTGTTAGTTACTGTCCCACGAACAGCTAGCATCAGCTTTGTGTTTCACCAGGAGAGATTTTATATTATTGGCCAAATAGCAGACTCAGTGTTGGCAGGAAGTCTTGGTGGACACAACTACACCTTGACATCTCCTCCTAACAGAGGCAGGTCTCCTGTGGCTCAGCCAGGTGTGGTCCACCCAACATTTGCCTCTTTAGCACCATGCAAGGCAATTTTTTTATCACAACCCTTGTGTAGTCCTCAATCAAATACCTTTGAGAAAGCCATGCATGCTGTACTGAGCCATTGGATGCCGTACTCTGCCACCCCTTCCCCTCACAGGCCAACCTTGATGATCTTTGCAGCCCTTTCTTCTTCCAGCATGTGCCTGAACTGAGCATCATGTGCATCCATCCACGCGCTATTGTTACAGAGGTGGTTTTGGAGGCAGTACCAACTGAAATCTTTGGCATGGGCAAGGAGGTGTTTGGTGCTTTTTCACCCAGTGGGCAGGATGTGTGGCCCAGTATCTGTGCCATTGCCACCATGTCATGGGTTCTAAGGCAGACCCATCATATCCCATGCCATGACAAATTTTGGAGGAGGTCCTGGCTTGAAGCCATGGCATGCCCTCTCTTCCTGAGGGGCATCCCTCTGGCACAGGGTTAGGGCCCTGCCAGCTTTCTACCCACTGCTGGCATCTGACTGTGCTTGCAGACCGCTGAGATGGAGTAGAAGTGCTGTGAAGTGGATAAAAGCCACTTTACAAACCAAGTGTCACAGGTAGCCACAGGACTCTGCTGGGAGCCATCAAAGCCTAACTCCAAAAAGTGCTATTAATGACCTCCTTGAAGAGCTCTCATTAACCCCAGCTTTACATCTGCAAGCCCCAACAAAGACAGATCTGCTTGTCTTGTGCCCCAGGGGCTTCAGAGACCTCTCCCTTCCCAAGGCAAGGAAGGTGTTGGGAGCAGATGCTCATCACATGAGTTGCGGTGCCCTAGCTCTAGGCTAAATTAGCTCTAGGTGAGCTTCAGGGTGAGAAGCTGTGGCCATACATGATAGCCCAAGCCTATATGCACCTTCCCAGCTGAAGGCCAGGACTCTGTTGTGTGCAGTGGACATGTCCCCATGTCATGTTTGCTATGGGGAGTCAACCCCTTCCCAACCCCTCTGTCCACACCAGGGCTGCATCTGCACCTATGCCAGGCTGCAGAGAGGACGTCTTGCTATGACCCTGCCTGCATGGAGCATATTGTGGCTGTTAGTTGGAATAACTCTCCCAGATCTATAAAACCATCTGCACACCTGTTGGTGCGTTTAGTGCAGTTTGTAGGAATTTAATCCATTTCTAAAAAAGAGCTAGGAAGAGGAGACAGGCACCCAGCTCCTCGGCTCTCATTGATTCACAAACCACATGTGTCCAAGGATCTAGGCTATATTTTTGTGTAAGCATATGAAAATAAATTA